AAACTAATGAAATTTATTCATGAAGTCTCAATGCAAAACAAACAAACTTTTGTTTACCATATTTAAATGATTTTTCATGCAATTCATTGCAACAAACATTAAAGAGCGATGCTGCATAGACTCCTTTTAAACAAGTAAACAAGAAGCAAATCCAATTTCTAATTTTAAGGATATGAGCAATCACTTAAAAGGACAATGAATGGAGTGATATTAAATAAAAAAAGGCAGCTGCGCTTTAACATATGATGTTGTGTTTGAGAAACACACTCTCAAGTTCTAAGAGATCCCTAAGATTCATCCTCCCACGACTATGAATGTAATTTTAGTTATGCCGCTAGAGAAAACAACAGCAAGTGAGATTTATAAAGACGCTGCCCACGGTGATGACTCCTCGATTCTGATGAGACGGAAGAATTCTTGATGAAGTGTGTTGTCAGAGGAGGACAGGAATACCAATTAACGAGAGGCAGTCCACATGATACCGAGTACCTCAAATAAAACTCGAGCTGCACTGCTGAAATGCTCTGGATGTCCCATCACTATCATCCTCTGCTCAGTGTGTGTGTGATGAAAGTGTGTGTGCCCAGTGTGTGATTTGTAATGAAAAAAGATAGAGGTAGTGAGTAATGCACAACTACAAATACAACCTTTGATTTTAATAAGGAATAAGATATTAAATAGATATTATCTAAGAGTAATTAATGCTCTAGAAGTATTGCTCATTTTAGTTAATGTTAAATAAGGTAGTTAAGTAATGTTAACTAATAAACCTTATTGTTAAGTGTTGCCACCGGTTATGTTTCTAGATGAGAAAAGCTTGAGTTAAATGTTCTTTATGAATATGGATTTAGATGAATTTCTGTTTTTAGTTTTTCTAGGTGAAGAGTGGAGCTTTGGTTGCAAATATGCAAATGTAAGTGAATATTTTATTAGATAATATAACCGTTTTATCTCCCCTGCGCTTCCACTGCACATAATGGCTTCTTTATTTCTTGTTCAATGTTTAAAAAATACTGCTTTTGAACTTTGACGTGTAATTTGACGCAATTAAGTTATGTTTCCACTTCATGGGGTATTTGATCAGTTTAGTTGAATGTTAAAGAAACCCACTATTAGCATACAGAACCACTAAACACAATTGAATTAAGGATTTGATGTGATGAATTGGTATTCCAATTTATCAACAAAGGATCCTTGATTTATTGACACTGTGTGTGTGTTATATGTCAGTTGTGATGCTGAGATTGATGGAGTTCATCTGTGATGAAGAAAAAACACAAGATTATGCTTAATTGTACATCTTTTAAAAAGTTTCATCCTAACTAGAAACTCAAAGCAGTTCAGTGGGATGAAAAGACACAGCACACATTAACCCAGATAACCCAGTGGCTTTACTGTGATGTATGAGCCGGCGGAATCACTTTCATGTGAAATTAATTACACACCTAGTGGACCCTAATTTTCACATGGAGAACCAGACGGCTGGATACATCAAGCTGGACTGATTAGCATACACTGTTATCTGTGAGATTTATTTGCTCTCATTTGCAAATGAAACACTTACAAAAGGATGGAGAAAAATGACAGGTTCTGATGCCTATTCACTTATCTGGGAATACAATATTCTTCTTAACTGTAAATAAATACATAATAAATAACGATTTCAGTTTTTCTACTTCAAAATTTCATGTTTTACTTGGTGTTTCTTTGTAATTATTTGCGAGTTCTTAAGTCACAATTTTGATTTGACTTTTTCATTTATAATTTGGACTGTTTAAATCATAATTTGGATTTTCATCTCTTAATTTGGATTTATCATGACATAATATTGACTTTTTGTCATGCATACATATGAAGAGTTCAGATGCAAAGGGCCTCTAAGTGCCATTTGAAATTTTCTTATAAAATGATCATTTTTATCAAGCTTATATATTTAAGTTCAGTAATTTCACTTAAATGGCGATGAAGATTACCTATTAATTGTCATTTAAGTGAAATTACTGAACTTAAATATACAAGCTTGATAAAAATGGTCATTTTAGAAGAAAATTTCAAATGGCATTTAGAGGCTTTTGCATCTGAACTCTTCATATATACTCTATGACCAGAATATGATATGTTTTTTGTTTCTTATGTGGCGGAAATTGGCTTACAAATTAGAATATTTTAAGTTATATCATAATAAAGAAAAAAACGAGTATAGAGCTTTAAAATGAATGTGAATAGCATTGTTCGGAAGAATTTCATGAGGTTTTTTTTTTTTTTTTTTTTTTTTTTGAACATTTTTTATATTGAAATTGTGTTTTTTTATTTTTATTATGGCAGACTTTGGTCTTTTAGACAATATTATCACATTTTGAGATGTTGAAATCTCTGAAACTCTAAAAGAGACGAGAGAAGATTGTGAGATTACACTACTAGGGTCTGTTAGGAATACAAATTAACTAACACAAAAATGTCAGTAAAAAAAAAAAAAAAAATCCATATCATATGAAGTTCACCCAAATGGATTTAGATAGATAGATAGATAGATAGATAGATAGATAGATAGATAGATAGATAGATAGATAGATAGATAGATAGATAGATAGATAGATAGATAGATAGATAGATAGATAGATAGATAGATACATACATACATACATACATACATACATACATACATACATATACATACATAGATGGATGGATGGACGGACGGACGGACGGACGGACAAATAGATAGACAGACAGACAGACAGATAATTCTGTATATCGGATTGTGGAGATGCTAAATCAAACCGTGTACAAAGTCTCTTGTTTGTTCCACCAAAAAAAAAAAAAAAAAAAAAGATGATAAAAAGGCATATGTAGTAGGTTTTTGTAAGGCCCTTTGGGGGATTCAAGAGAGATCCTGTTGTTCTGAATCACACTAGAATATGAGCTGGATTATTGTTCTAACTCAAGCACCAGCTGTGAAACAATTGCCGCCCCATGCAACAATCCCTGGAGTCTTTCACTTCCTCTGATAATAGTGTCTTTATATTGCATCCTTGTTTTTGATTTGTTTTTGTGGTTGCATTTCAGAGTCATCTCATGCACATATAACTTCTCTTTTTGTGTGTGTGTTTTTTTAAACACATAACTGGTGACAAGTGAGTCTGGTTTGTAGGCGGGACGTAATTGTCATATGCCATTGAGGAGAGACAGAGAGATGATTACAACAGATGCAGCAGTGCCAAAGGGCGTTCAGGTTCCTATCCTTGATCACTCATCCTCATTACGGGTGTAACTCACTCCATCTCGACACCATCAGTCTGCCAGCTCACTGTTGACACGACTCTCACTTTACAAAACCCTCAGGAGTTTCACTCCTCATGCTAAATGTAGGGCAAAGCATTTGGGAAAGAAAAACATTCACAACTTTGCACTTCTAATTACGTCTCCAGGAAACTATTTCTTGCTTGGTTTATGACAGCTGAGCTGATGCCAGGGGCAGGCATTAGGGGGCAGTGGCATACTGCACTCACCCATAATGACTTGTCAAAAATGAGGGAAAGGAGATTTCACTCAAATTAGCTGAATCGACTGCACCCAGTTGTGTGAACCCCCGTAGCACATCTATAAAGGTGGAGCTGGGGAGGTGGAGGGTTTCTAAAAGCTCGCAGCGGACTGCTAACAGCAACCAGTATTTGAATGTCGACTATTCAACTATTCACTTCCTAAGTTCTCTCTGGGCCTCGAGTCTGGGTACTTGTTGTTGTCCGTCGCACGCATCACACACATGTCGGCCAATAGTGAGCCTACGTGTCACGTACACTCTTAGAAGAAATTATTCTAATTAGAACCAGAAATGGTTCCATCCCCTGCTTTATATATGGAACTCCAAAATGGTTCTATATAGAACCATTTTTTTTGGTAAAAGGTTCTATTGGCCAAGTGTGGAACCCCAGGGTTCTATATAGAACCCAGAGGAACTCTTTTTTTAAGAGTGTATAGAACCTTTTAGGGGTTCCAAATACGTAGCGCTGATAGAACCTTTTAAAGGGTAACTAAACCCCTGGTCAGAGCCTGACTCCACCCACTGGCAATATTTGAAAAATGCTGGAAAAGTGGGCAGAGCCCAGCGGAGGGGGGCGTGCACCTGAGACGCATCTCTTTGTATGGAACTTGCCTACGTCACCAACAACTGCCTGTGTCACGTACCACCGCAAACATCCAATAGGAAAATTCAACTGCAGTAGCCATCGTTCAACCTGAAGAGGGCAGCACTAAGATGTTTTTACACCATATATTGTAGAAATAGAACACTTTATACACAAATGCCATAAAAGTTACTTGAATCAATGACTGGTATTAATAAAGATCCATTCTTACAGATCATTAACTAAAAAAAGTTGGTTAAGTGTTTAGTTACTCTTTAAGGTTCTATATAGAACCTTTTCTTCTAAGAGTGTAGCTCTACGCTATCACACTACATTAACTGACTTGAGGCCCATGGAAGGAAGTGAATTTGTTATTTTTGTTTGTTTTCGCGCACAAAAAGTATTATCGTCGCTTGACGAGTTAAGATTGAGCCATTGTAGTCACTTGGACTATTTTAATGATGTCTTTAATAACTTTTCGAGGCCGGCAAGTTTCAATTCCTCAAGAAGCCTATGGACTAGTATGCAGGAGTGATCCGGCTCTCAGATTTCATCAAGATGAACGAAGGTCTTACGGGGTTGGAACAACATGAGGGTGAGTGAATACTGACCGAATTTTCAAATTTTTCCCTTTAAATGGACAACATTATCATAAACAGTAAGTGGAATTTTTCCTTTTCTTTTTTTTTTTTTTGTCAAGAAAATGAAATAATATTTGACTGCAAGTGGTGGAAACAAGGAGTGTATTTAAGCTTTGAAGCTCTTGCTTTTTCCTGACCGCTCCTGTTTTGATTCTGAACGGCTGAATGTATTTTGTGTGTGGTGAAATCTCTGAGGGCCTTTGCCCACTGATTCATTCTGACTAATTCATCTCTCTGCAAGTTTTGTCACCCAAGGCCATGCACTACACTAGATGAAAGATCACTGGAGAAAGAAAAGAAAAAGTGTCGGGCTGGAGTGAAAGCAACCCTAATTATGGTGAACAATGTCTAAAGAGATTTCTTTAACAATGCATGGCACTATAGTAGTTATCAGTGAGTTATGTTGTTGTACGAGAAACGACAAAGTCAAATATGTGAATATTCAAGCATGAAAACCTGCTCTAGTACTAGTAGCCCCCAAATACAAAACTTCAAGACATAATAGTTCCTCTTTAATATCATTAAAAAGTACGAAGTGCATTTTTGTTTAGCCTGACTAGCAGATCTTTCCAACGTCTGTAATGTTAGTGTGAGCCGAATGACAGTTGGTTATCAGGATTCACCGCAGCATTGACATTCAACCTCAATACTCTTCGCAATCCAAGCTGAATCCTTGCTGATATGTTCTACAGCTTCATCCTGCATGTCTAGGACTTTGAAATTCATCGTCAAGCTCACTTTTCATTATGAATACCTCACCCACTTGGGAAATGGGTTTTAGGGAAGTCAGAAGCAATAGATTTAGAGATATATATCGAGTTTTTGGTGTAGTATATGCCTGTCTTCAAATCGAGTGCACACATGGTGGTAGCACAGCGGGAAGACTTTGACCTCATAGCACAAAAGGTGCAGGTTTTAAAACTTCAACTGAATTTCAAGTAACCGAGTCAATCTCTTCAAGAGGATCTCACAAACTAAGAAAGAAATAGTCCACAATGTTCCACAACAAGGATGGATGGACAACCAGTCACATGAAATTAGATTTTTTGGTGTCACCCAAAAGGAAAATCACTGATATTAGAGCTAGGCATGCAGATACGTTGAGCTTTGGTGGTCTTTTAGAAGCCTGTCTAAAACTGTCTATATAAAAAAAGTGTAAAGCATTTGTGTGTGTGCAGTAATAGTTTTTAAATTACTGTAGTATATTGCTATTCTCCTATAAACTTTTAAGATTCTGCTAAGTTTAGCACTTAAGTGAAGATGAATATTTTCTGTAAATATTGTAATATTAATATTATATAATACAGAAAAGAAACTGTTATAGTTTAATTTGGTGTATTTCTTAACTTAATTTTGGCAATGAAAATTGCTACCAGTGTTGTTATTGTAAAATAAAATTAAAATGATTAAAAAAAAATTAATGAATCAAAATATAAATATTAGATGAAAAGTGTTTAACTGGCAAATAAATTTGGATTAATTTTTAAAGTAAAACTTTTTTTCTGTCTTTTATGAAGGGTCAGCAACATGATGTGGGCGACCAATAGGAGTAAAGACGCTGGAGCGGATGTGATCCGTACTTATCCTGTGAGATACTGCAATCGAGCATCATCCAGATGGAGGAGTTCATGTTACTGTGAGTGATATCACTGTTCTATATGATTTGTCTCTTCCCAGAAGGCATACTGTATAATAAACTAAATAACCATGCCAGCCAGAAAATTGTCAACAATCTACGTGAGTTTGACTCATGCATTGATAATTATCTTGTTTAGGATGTGATGTATAATGCGTATATACAAATGCTTCCCCCTGCAGAGTACAGTATTCATTTTAGCTATATGAAAATGAACTGACATAATGACATCTTATTTTCACTGGCAATATATCTCATTTATGAGGTTTTCACAAACATTGGCCACTTGCCCATCCAAGCCTACAGCATCCTGCGACCTCCAGCAATAAAACTGCTGAGCTTGGCTTAAATTTGTGTTATAAGTACATCATTTCTGTGGATTTTCTATGTCACACAGGTAAATCTAGGAGGTTTGGCCTGTGGAATGTGTTTCTATTAATGCGGTCGAAGTACACAGCGTGCTTTCATATTTTATGGACTCTGGCCCTGATGCTTTTATCATCCTCTCACATGGACAATGACTGGATCACTATAAACACAGCACGGGTCCAGCTGTCCCCGGAGAACGCAATCGCACTGTAATTTGGATTTGATTTATTTTCCCTTTCGGATATCAAATGGAAGAAGGTCACCTGTCAGGGTTATTGATGTGTTTCTGAGTACATAATTAGTTGTACCAGGGGGAATTCATGATGGATACAGGAAGACTGAGGATAAATATATTGAATGTAAAAAGGTTCCCAGTCTACCAACTCCATTGCTATTGTCAGTCTTTGAAGCTGTTCATTATGGTGTACATTTGTTTGTTTTCCATTGGATTCAGGGACAAATGAAAATGCAAAGACGGGGTTTGGCTGGTTAGCATGGTCCAGTTAGCCGCTGTATTCATATTCCATAAATAGTCACAATTAATAGATTTATTATGTTGAACTTGGAAGTTATCAATGAATTCAATTGTAGGGTGGCCGAGAGAGCTCAGCTGCAACTGAAGAAAACGCATGCAAATAGAAAAAACACCAGTATATTGATAAAACATCTTAATCTGTTTCACAACACATGTGCTGCAAATACTCACAACACAACCAAATACAGAATCGGTCTGCAAATACTCACAATGCAACCAAATACAGAAATGCGCAGCTAATACTCACAATGCAACCAAATACAGAAACCCGCTGCAAATACTCAACACAACCAAATACAGAAACAGTCTGCAAATACTCACAACACAACCAAATGCAGAAACCTGCTGCTGGTACTCACAACACAACCAAATACAGAAACCCGCTGCAAATACTCAACACAACCAAACACAGAAACCTGCTGCTAATACTCACAACACAACCAAATACAGAAACAGTCTGCAAATACTCACAACACAACCAAATACAGAAACCCGCTTCTAATACTCACAACTCAACCAAATACAGAAACCCGCTGCTAATACTCACAACACAACCAAATACAGAAACAGTCTGCAAATACTCAACACAACCAAATACAGAAACCTGCTGCTAATACTCACAACACAACCAAATTCAGAAACAGTCTGTAAATACTCACAACACAACCAAATACAGAAACAGTCTGCAAATACTCACAACACAACCAAACACAGAAACCTGCTGCAAATACTCACAACACAACCAAATACAGAAACAGTCTGCAAATACTCACAACACAACCAAATACAGAAACCCGCTGCAAATACTCAACACAACCAAATACAGAAACAGTCTGCAAATACTCACAACACAACCAAATACAGAAACCCGCTGCAAATACTCACAACACAACCAAATACAGAAACAGTCTGCAAATACTCACAACACAACCAAACACAGAAACCTGCTGCAAATACTCACAACACAACCAAATACAGAAACAGTCTGCAAATACTCACAACACAACCAAATACAGAAACAGTCTGCAAATACTCAACACAACCAAACACAGAAACCTGCTGCTAATACTCACAACACAACCAAATACAGAAACAGTCTGCAAATACTCACAACACAACCAAATACAGAAACCTGCTGCAAATACTCACAACACAACCAAATACAGAAACAGTCTGCAAATACTCAACACAACCAAACACAGAAACAGTCTGCAAATACTCACAACACAACCAAACACAGTAACATGCTGCTAATACTCACAACACAACCAAATACAGAAACCTGCTGCAAATACTCACAACACAACCAAATACAGAAACCCGCTGCAAATACTCACAACAGAACCAAATACAGAAACCCGCTGCTAATACTCACAACTCAACCAAATAGAGAAACCTGTTGCAAATACTCACAACACAACCAAATACAGAAACCTGCTGCTGATACTCACAACACAACCAAATACAGAAACAGTCTGCAAATACTCACAATGCAACCAAATACAGAAACAGTCTGCAAATACTCACAACACAACCAAATATAGAAATGTGCTGCAAATACTCAGTAGTTCTATTAAACTCAATATTTGGTTCTACACTGGACTTCATCGACAGATTTGCCAATTCAGTGACAGTGAATGTTTTATAACTGGTCAAGCTGTTCGTAATTTTTCCAAAGCTTAGAAATATCGGCAGGCATCTGTATTCAGTGCAGACCGCTGGTGATTCAGCTAACAGAAGGCAGAGGCCTGTTGTCAAACAATCACACAGAATGATGAAGTGTTCACGCAAAGCTGCTCATCCCTTGTTGGAGCCGTTTGCAAATGAAGAAAATGATGAATTCCATTAGGATTTTTAAATAGCTTTTCAGCAGGCTCAATGTGTTCGCACGTCGATGCACATTCACAGCTTTTAATTAAAGTCAGTGATTACGTCCCAGAATCAGCCAATACTGAAACATTTAGAAGCCTTTATTGGAAATCCAAAAGTGCCCTAATGGAAGACCGGTCACAGCAGAGTTTCCTTTTAAATTCCGTCACACTTAAATGGCTTCAGCATAGAACGTCCTCATAAGAGGACCATGCGATGCAATCCGGCTCGTTTCTGGCCGAAGGGAGCGTGACAGCCCATATATTCTTTAACTGAAATTTCATGGTTTTATTTCAGGTTTGAGTACTGTGCTATTAATTCAGTGCAGGAGAGCTGAGGGCAACAAAAGCCACTGTATTAAAATATGACTATAAAAACATTTAACTTTGATGACCATGTAAATCAAGCCATTGATAAAGGTATAGTCCACCCAAATATAAACAATTTACTCACCCTCATGTTGTCCCAAACATGTATAACTTTCTTTCTCCTGCGGTGTCACCGATATTTTGAAGATGTTTATTTTATTAATCTAATTTGTTTAATTATTTTTTTTATATACAAATGAAAGTCAGTGTAGACTCAAACCCCATTTTGGCCTATGACACCATTAACTCTCACTGTAAAACAAACAAACAAACAAAATAAAAACAAAACAAACACAGATGTTAAAGCTGCAGTCTGTAGTTTTTCCTCTTTGTCGCCATCTCTGGCGACATTTTACAAGAAAACACTTTACAAGAAAACACTTGTCTTTCTACTTTTTTGTAGAAATTGTGTTACTTGCTGCTTCTTTGTAATTTATTGTGAAATATTCTAGCAATTTCTGAGTGTTAATTGTTTTTGCACCTTTTTTTCAGTGCTGGTTTGGAACAACATGTTAACATGTTTAATAAATAGTTAAAAGGGAGAAATAATGCAATGTTGTTTCAAAACCATAACAGACCTTACTGCCACAGAAGATGACAGGACTTGACATGACTCTAAATAACTTTTAGGTGTCATTCTTTGGCCTCCAATGTTACTAGGCCAAAACCCTCTTTCACAGGAGCTCTCAGGTACAGCAATACTTCAGGAAATGGTTTTAGATCCACCTTTGACTGTTCTTCTATAATCTGTATCTTTTATTTGGCAGAGAACTGAAGACTTTTTCAACATTGTATCATATCTCTGAAAGCAATGCTTCACCATCAAACTCTCTCTTCACCTCATCTCCTCCTGGAATGGCTTACCTCCTGACACAAAGCACCGGCAGGGTACAGTATGAATGACTCTGGAGGTGATTGACGCAGGATGAATGTGTGACGGAAATGAAATTTCATTTGGGATGATGCTCTTTTCATGGTGAGAGTGCCATATTCAGAACACTTCCCCTGATAAGCTGACCTCAAGTGACCCTTGTGTGATCTTTGCAAGAGCATCCACGACTGTCACTCAATATTTACTCTGTACCAGTTCATTAATATTGCTTGCAGTATTTGATCTGCATAGAGGATGAGATGTACTTGAATATGCCAATCAGAAAATCTAAATATCTAGTCCCTTTTTTGTCAGCATTAACCTGGGGTGAACCAAAAAAAAATCTTAATCTGTATTTCTGACTTTCCAGTTAAAATAACTAATTATCTTCAAACTGAATTCATTTATTTGGGAAACAAATGTAGTTTTTACTAGATCTTGAATTGTTTTATCCCATTGGCAAATTGTACTTTTGTTCTTGTTTTAAACAAATCTCGCAAAAATGTGTGCATGAAACAACAAGAAAAAAACATTCCCAGTTTTAAATGCTGTTGTCCCTTATGCAAATTAGTTTTTTTTTCTTAATAGCACAGTAGCATTTGTCATGAGAATTTTTTTGGCACAATATAGACCTTATGGGAAAAGCTTAACATTTTTAATTAATTTAAACATATGAATCTAATTTAGAAGTACATGTATACAATCTGTTACCACCTGTACAGTAGTGGCTAAAAGGAAAATTGACATCTTTATTCAAATATTATTCAAAGTGTTTCAAAGATTTTGTAAGCATATTGTGCAGTTGTGCTTGCCAATTGTTCTCAATTGAAACATGCCAAATTATGCAGACATTTATTGTATAAAGTAAAACCTGTAGATGTAGTTTGCCTTTTTTGCCAAATAATTTTGTCAGATAAATACCTTTACCATGTTTAGAGTTTTGTTCTACCCTCATGTTTAAAATATTAAAATAAATAATAATAATCAACTAAATATATACAGTAAGTATATTTGATTGTGGTACAATTTAAATATCTTTAATTTAAAGTAGACAGTAATCATACTATCCTTACATACTAAACATGTTTCGCTTAATATTAAGAAATGTGCATTGTTGAATAAAGAAGTACTCCAAATTAAGTTTAATTAAAGAATTTATATCAGTAAATCTCAAGCAATATGTCAAAAATATGTTAATGAATTTGTTTTAAACTTAGTATGAAATAAATGTTAATAATTTTTTTTTTTTTTTTAATTAACAAATAAAAATTTTAAATACCTTTTGACATAGTGGCTAAAGGCTGAAAAGAATCGTGAGAACACGAAAAACCTCTGTTTTTGGACCAATGTAAAGACCAAAGGAGGGGAAAAACGGAAAGAAGCTAATGTTCTGTCAGCTCCGCCTTACCCCCCGAAGCAAAACACTCTTGCATACAGATAAGAAAGCTATAATGTTGTTTAAAGAGTAGACATACTATAGTATGGTACAATTTTCAGTGATAAACCTACCCTTACAATAACTGTTCTGTTAATTACCCTCTGTTGATCCGACTCTTGGTCTGGGATACAAAAATGCAGAAGTATAATCTCTAGTTTTCACAAAAGCCCTGGAGCACAGAGTGCATTATCCGGCGGAGATATATTCTTTTACATATACTTCCGAGATTGTAACAATACGAAGCGAGTTGAAATTGTCAAAGTTACAAATTAAAATACGGCTTATTGCTAGCCTAGAATATGCTGCAAAAGTGTAGAAAATGGCCCCTTTAAGAAGAAAAAAACTATTTCCATGTGTACTCCGAGGATGGATAATTAAGAATACATTTATTTTTTCAGAGAAACTTTCCTCCATTTATTCTCTTTTAAACAGCAGAGGGAAAACAGGGAGGAGGATTTAATTTGAAGCCTGTGAAATGATGGCGATGACAAAGGAAACAATAGTTTCATTTCTCGCCCAGCACAGTGCACAGTTCCAGGAGGAAATAAACTGCCTTATTATCTGACTCATACACCTTTTTGTTTTGCACCGATTTTTCCCATTTGCATTTAAATTCATTGGCTTATATATAAAATCTTCCCAGCTGCTCCCAACATATATCATTCTTGTGATTAGATTAGATTGATTATCTTTGCATGCAACTATGTGCAACCGTCCCAAGGAAACAGACTCATAAAAGGCCTCACAAAATGGACATAATTACAGTGACAGTCCTCATTTAGATGTCGAAATTAGCATAATCATAATGATCAGTATGTTTAATTGTAATTCAATTATTCGGGGTGTTTGTGACGGTTTTGGATTGTGCCATGAGCATCTAGATTCATTGTTTTTTAACCTTCCTCACACGTGTTTCTCTTCGGAGGCCCATGCGAAAGACTGCGTTAAACTAAATGGATTTGAATTCCCTGAAATCAAAACTCTGTAAGTCTATTAAGAATGTCTGCAATTTGCCATTATCTGCTGCACCCGACTGGCCGAGCCAGACTCGAATTAAGAAAAAAAAAAACGATTAGGAATGTATCAGTGGCTCATTTGCGAAATCCAGTGTGTCAGCAGCTCTTCCTCGCCAGTGAAATGAAGATAAGATGTGTGCCACTCATTCCTGTCTGTCAGTCATAATCCAGCCAAGAAATTGCATTCACTCTTCAGTCATACTGTGAATGCAAAGCAGACACATCAGGCTAGTAATACTCAAAATGACATGAGTATATGGGAATCATAAGAAATTAAATGATTTACATCCCTGAATGATTCCATTAGTGATAGTTTTTGCAATTTTGAGTTTATGAGTTTACACCTTTATAACCATGACATGACATATGACTTGAATATGAAGTAGGGTTTGCATGTTTATGACAACTGCACTGTAAAAAATAAACCGTAAATTTTACGGTAAAAAACCGGCAGCTGTGGTTGCCAGAACTTTACCGTTAAAAACGGTAGGAACGTTAATGGTTTTACAGACTTAACTTAAAATTTACAGTAATAAACCGTATTTTATTTTCTGATAAAATGTTGATTTACCAACTTATTGATATCTGTTTTATACCATTGTAATACACTGACAACCATCAATCATCACAGCAGTGATGAGAGTTACATGAGCAATCACAGCTCATCATAAGTGATTACTTATCTAAGTAATACTTATATAAAGAAGCTGCAGAGTGTCATTCACACAAACATTAAACACCATCATGGTAACACAAATGAAATTTAAAAATGCAATAAACATTAATTTAACAACATTAAATGTAACATAAAACCTTAATGTACATAACTGATTAGAAAAAAAAACAATAAAACTATGAGGAACTATAGTTATTTCAACAAAAATACATCAAATGTGAAGTGTCACACAGGGAATTGTGGGAATGTCAATTTACGTTTTTTCACTGTAAACTATACAACGATTTGTTCTTTTTCACTTTCAAAAACTGTAAATTTAACGGTATTTTACTGTAAAATTATATCACAGTTATTTACCGTATAAAGTACGGAAACTTTCTGTTAACCAATTAACAGTTTTGCACTGTAGCATTTTTACAGTCTTTTACTGTTAAAATCACGGATATTTTTTTACAGTGTGTCATTAAGTGTCTTTCGCTCAATAATGCCATTTTGAATGCAAATATGACATTGTTTAAAATGTCTTTATGACATCTTGACATAACATCATAACCTGTCAGTGTCTTTGTCATGACAACTTTACATTAAATTAAGTTAAACTGTCATGTGGTTGGTGTTGACATTAGCTGTTACGAGGCCATTATAACTGTGGCATGAATATTTTTCTTGACCTCAACTACAGTGGTACTACTAATTGAATTTGTCATTAAAAAGTTATAATGGCTTCATGAAAGCCAATGTCAAAATGAACCACCTGATAGTTTAATGTAATGTTAACCAATAAAGCTAGGTGGTTTCTTAAGTTTGATAATTAATCTGCTATGTCATGTTTATGACAGGTTGTGTTGTCTTCGTAATGTCAAGTTCTCATGACAAAGACACTGACAGGTTATGATGTATTGGTTTATGTCAAGGTGTCATAACTGAGTGAATGACACTTAATGACAGTTGTCACAAACATGCATACAACTTCCTTCATATTCATCATAACATATGTCATGTCATGATTATGAAGGTGTCATGTTAGTCTTAAGCACACCCCTTCAAGTAAAGTGTTACCGAAGTGTTTAGAATATTGTAATATTTTTTGCACCATTGTTAGGCTTGTAGTTGTATTCAACAGTATGTATATTTTTTTTCTTGATTTATTAGGGAACGAGGCTGGATATTGCTTACATAACCTTTAAGTGAATTAGTTTGTTCAGTAAACTGAAAGCATATGTACAACTAAAGTTAGTGCAAGTGTAACTTGGTGTGAACCTGCTTCCAGATCAAACTTGATCTAAAGAGGCTTATTTTGAAATCAACTTATGAACTGTGTTGATATTTCATTCATGATTACGCTGTAATACTTTAAGCAGACACAACCGCAGATGGTGGAGCATGTGTTCGTAGCAATAAAAAACATCTGTGTAATTTTCTCACAGATTTACGCATGAATTAGTGTGTGCATGACATTCTTTCCTAAAAGGAAGCTGTGGAGAATTTAAATAAGGTTGTAAGGCACACAAAGACGACAGCAGCCATTTTAGATCAGGCCTGTGCATTATTCCAGGCTTATTTTTCACTCAGGGGACGTCTGTCTTTGGGATTATTACATTATTGGATTATTTTGTTTAATTTGCACTCTGCATGTCGCTGGAATGTTAATCACAGCTACCCATACTAGTTCTTGCAAAATTCGTCTAAATGTCACATTCTATTGTAAATCTTTAAGCTCCACGGCTTGAAATGGCTCACAAGTAAATTATACAAAGGCTGAAAATACATTAATTATTTATTAAAATAATATTAGAGCGATAACTATAGTGTATATAAACTTACATTAAGTTATCAATACACTTATAGAGCTAAACAGTATGGTCAACCTTTGTGTACTTCTAGTTTAAATGCATCTAGACTGTTAAAGGGTTAGTTCACCCAAAAATGAAAATTAAGTCATTAATTACTAACCCCCATGCTGTACCAACCCCGTAAGACCTTCGTTCGTCTTCGGAACACAAATGAAGATATTTTTGATT